GATCAGAAAATGCATACAGTAGCTTGAGTATAATTTTTAAAGTTGCGAAATTTGATCGCTTGGTTTTCTGTAAACCTTTGTGCATGCCGGTCATTGACTGTAAAATGAAATTGTGGCTGTAGCATAATCGAAAGCTGACTAGGATGGTTGCCAAATTTGGTTGGCTGGCATACCGAACTTGGAAAGGGAAGAGAAGTACAGACAGATTTATTTTTAATCTTTGATCGTAATATTAATTTTTACCATTCCTGTATTTTAAACTTTTTAGATTCCTGTTTATAATCTTAGATGCTATTATCTTTTATAATTTCACTGTTCTTTTACCTGTCATTTACTTGCCTCTTATTGTGTTGTTTGCTGGTCTATGACCGTAATAAATAAATTGAAATACCCCACGGAGGTCCCCCCGCCGGCGGCCAGGCAGTCCTATTTGTGTGGCATTTTCTGCCCCTACCCCTACCCCCCTGTCCATTCCTTCTGAATAATTTGTCTAAAGAATATTACAATGTGTAGCCCTGGAGCCCTTCAGCACAGGCAGTTTTAAGCCGGGGGTGTGATCAAACTGTGGCCCTGCCATCCCTTCTTCTCCCCCCCCCCCCCGATGTTCTGACAGGATTCTGATTCCGTGCCGTTTCCCCCTCTTCCAGGGCCGTGGTGGGCTGGGCTCACTCTTTGTCTGGGCCTCCGGCAATGGCGGCCACCGCTATGACAACTGTAACTGCGACGGTTACACCAACAGCATCTACACCCTGTCGGTGGGCAGCACGACGGAGAGCGGGCGGGTCCCCTGGTACAACGAGGCCTGCGCTTCCACCCTCACGGCCACCTACAGCAGCGGGGGGAAGGGGGAAAAGCAGATCGTAAGTGTCATGTATTGAGCCTAGCAAAAATAGAACCACAAGAACTGTACACAGTGCGCTCAATATTTCTTTAACGAAAACCGTAAAGTCATAAATATGAAATGTACAAAAGTGATAATAATACATTCAAATGTGTAAGTTCAGATACATAAAGATAGAAGGTGACAACAACGGGACGGTGGTCTCCGGAATGCGATGCCGTTTCGACGAACGTCTTCTTCTAACCAAGAGTCTATAGGTTGATGATGTATGAAAAATTGCACTTCAATGGAAAAGCTGCCCAATTCACATGGAGTTCAGTAGTTTCACCTATTTCATTGCATAAGTAATGGAGAAGAACATAATCAAGCTATAGATTCTTGGTTAGAAGAAGACGTTTGTCGAAACGGCATCGCATTCCGGAGACCACCGTCCCGTCGTTGTCATCTTCTATCTTTATGTATCTGAACTTACACATTTGAATGTATTATTATCACTTTTGTACATTTCATATTTATAACTTTACGGTTTTCGTTAAAGAAATATTGAGCGCACTGTGTACAGTTCTTGTGGTTCTATTTTTGCATGTCTATGGACTGTGACCATATTTGTTTTTGTATGTACTGAGCCTAGACCATACCTTGGCTGATGCTTAATTTGGACAGAGCTTGAGGATCCGTAACAATAGCTGACTAGGATCCTAGAATGGACCAGTAGGGAGACAGGAATCCTAAAATAGACCAATAGGGAGACAGGGATCCTAGAGGAGACCAATGGAATAACAATGTAGCGTAAATAGCCTATCGTGGGAGTGGGTGGGTGTTTTGGGTATAACCTTTTGCATGCATAAATACCTGGCTTCGGTCAGGGATTCTCTGTCTTCTTTCTGCTTCCTGAAATCATTAATAAACTATGAGCTGATCACTGTACGCGTCTGAACCCAGTATATTTCAGTAAGGCCCTTCATTAATTATAGGAATACTAATAGTTAATAATGTGCCATCCAGTCGCAACCCACTTACGGCAAGCCTGTAAGGCGTGAGACGTTCAGAGGCGATCTGCCGTTGCCCGCTTCCGCATAGCGACCCTGCATAGCGACTTTGGTGGCCTCCCATCCAAATACTAACCGTGGCCCGCCCTGCTTAGCTCCTGGGCTCTCCGGCTAGTCTGGGATATTCCTGCCACTGTTTCCCTCAGACTCGCTTGCAAGAGGGGAGGCGTCGGGGCAGAAAACGGCCCCCCCCCCCCCCGGCATCCTCTTCCTTCCCCCCAGTTAAAGGCTGTGCTTCTAGAGAAGTGTTTATTTTCACCAAGCTTTTCTACGGACCGGATTTAAGTGAGGCAACAGTGCCTCCTATTGACAGTCGTGCAGAAATGAACCCCTCGGTGCTCTTTCAGGGCCCTTCGTGAGAGCACAATCCTCAGAAATCGGTCGATGTCACATGTGCCCCTCAAACTGGTTTGGTGCAGTGGTTAAGTGCGCGGACTCTAATCTGGGAGAACCGGGTTTGATTCCCCACTCCTCCACTTGCACCTGGCTGGATGACCTTGGGCAAGTCACAGTTCTGTCAAGAGCTGGCTTTGAAAAAGAGCAGTTTTGGTCAAGAGCTCTCTCAGCCCCACCTACCTCACAGGCAGTGTTCCCTCTAAGCCGAGTTAGTGTGAGCTAGCTCACAGTTCTTTAGCCTCTAGCTCACACATTTTTGTCTTAGTTCAGAAAGGATAGCTCCAGAGCAAACTAATTTATGCAATAGCCAAATCACCTGCTCACAGCTTTAATGCTGGTAGCTCACAAAGTAGAATTTTTGCTCACAGGACTCCACAGCTTAGAGGGAGCATTGCTCACAGGGTGTCTGTGGTGGGGAGGGGAAGGGAAATGAGTTTTCTACGCCGCTCTGAGATGCCGAGTGAAGGGCGGGGTATAAATCCAATCTCTTCTTCTTCTTCTTCTTCTTCTGCTTCTTCTTCTTCTTCTTCTTCTGCTTCTTCTTCTTCTTCTTCTTCTGCTTCTTCTTCTTCTTCTTCTTCTGCTTCTTCTTCTTCTTCTTCTTCTGCTTCTTCTTCTTCTTCTTCTTCTGCTTCTTCTTCTTCTTCTTCTTCTGCTTCTTCTTCTTCTTCTTCTTCTGCTTCTTCTTCTTCTTCTTCTTCTGCTTCTTCTTCTTCTTCTTCTTCTGCTTCTTCTTCTTCTTCTTCTTCTGCTTCTTCTTCTTCTTCTTCTTCTGCTTCTTCTTCTTCTTCTTCTTCTGCTTCTTCTTCTTCTTCTTCTTCTGCTTCTTCTTCTTCTTCTTCTTCTGCTTCTTCTTCTTCTTCTTCTTCTGCTTCTTCTTCTTCTTCTTCTTCTTCAAAGTGCTTTTGGGTTTCCTTCTATTTTAGGTGTGCATGTGTGAAAGGCAGAAATGTAGTTTTCAGTTCACGTGCATTGGATTTTTAATTGACGGCCGGCCGTGCAGGAAAGGAAATATCAGCCAATGTCCACGTGGGACAGTCAGAGAGTATCTTCTTCCGTGCCAGCTGGAGAGAGGAATGTTCTATGTCTTTTTAGGCCCCTCGTGGAAAAAAAAATGCAGTCCATCGTTTTAACTGAACTGTTCTGCTTCAGTTCTGTTTCAGATTTCTGATTGGTTCCAGATCTCCACAATGCAAATCCCATTGGCACTGTTTGTTTGTTTGCTTGTTTATTTAATTTCAACCCCACCCTCCCCGCTGTAGCAGGCTCCTGGCGGCTTACATAGGATATTACAGAGCTAAAGCAAATGTAGGTAAAATCATAAGTCTAAAACGTTACAAAGTGCTAGTGCTAAGATGATTCCGACACAATGGCGGGCATTAATAGCATCCAGCAAACAGGCAGTCAGCTCCCAGCGTAGTCTGTGTTATATCGGCTGCTAATAATAATGTTAATATCGATGTTAATATCGGGGCCAGGGCCTCAGTTGTATGGTGCAGCTCCCTAGTCAAAAGCATGGTGGAAGAGCTCTGTCTTGCAGGCCCAGCAGAACTGTAAAAGGTCCTGCAGGGCCCTGATGTCTTCCGGGAACTCATTTCACTGGTACGGAGCCACCACTGAGAAGGCCCTGGCCCTCATCACAGCCAGCCTGGCTTCTCTGGGCCCAGCAAGGCTGCTGGCATTAAAGTTGTGCGTGAGCAATTTGGCTACTGCATTTGGCTACTGTCTTAGCCCAGTAGCGATTTGGCTACTGTCTTAGCCCAGGAAGGAGTCATCCTTCCTGGGCTAAGACAAGAATGTGTGAGCCAGAGGCTAAAAGACTGTGAGCTAGCTCACACTAACTCAGCTTAGAGGTAACACTGGTCCCATCCCATTGATTGTATTGATCAGGGGTCATTTCGTAGAAAAAGAGGTGCAGGAGCTCATTAGCATAACTTATTTGCATCTGCCACACCCCCTGACATCACCGGAAGTGTGTCAGAAGGCAACACCCACTGCTCAGGCTCCACTGGACTGTTTTGGATTGCTAGCTATTGGGGGGGGGAATGACATGCAGATCTGCCCTCACAGAGAGCTCACAAGATTTGATAGCTTAGAGGGAGCATTGGGAGGCAGTCAATGGCCAACCGCCTCTGAGCGTCTCTTGCCCTGAAGCCCGCGGAGCTCTGCAATGTACCCGGCTGCTTCTTGTTCTAACTGAGGGCTGCTGGGAGCAGGGGGTGGGGCTTGTTGCATATGCCCACCTCCTGGGCTCTTTACTGCCGGAGCTCCGCTCCTGTGCGCTCCCGCAGGAAATGACCCTTGGTATTGATGCGCTCTGTGTAATCTGCCTTGAGGCCTACAAATAGATAAACAAAAAAGCTATTAAAAACCATTTTTGGAGAGATGCCCATCACTGACACCACCCCCTGGCTGAAGCATCCTCAGGTAGTCAGTTCCAGTTTCCTGCTAAACTGCTGACTCCCTCTCTTTCCTTTCCAGGTGACAACAGACTTGCGGCGCAGATGCACCAGTGAGCACACCGGCTCCTCCGCCTCTGCCCCCCTCGTGGCCGGTATGATCGCTCTCGCTCTGGAGGCCAAGTAAGAACAAGAACCACAGTAGATTTCTAGGAACCTTGAGCTTTAAATCACTTTGGTATCTTGCTCTCCACAGTCTCTTTTTGGGACAGCCAATGTTTTGTTAAGAAGGAGGGAAGCTGTGTAAGTTTCTCCCCTGTGGCAGTGAATCCCATGTGATCATCATTCTTTGGGTGAAGAAGGACTTCCTTTTATCTGTTCTAACCCGACCGCTCAGCAATTTCATGGAGTGCCCACGAGTTCTTGTACTGTGAGAAAGGGAGAGAAGTACTTCTTTCTCGACCTGCTCTATCCCATGCATAATCTTATAAACCTCAGTCATGTCACCCCTCAGCCGTCGTTTCTCCAAGCTAAAGAGCCCCAAGCGCTTCAACCTTTCTTCATAGGGAAAATGTTCCAACCTTTTGATCATTCCAGTTGCCCTTTTCTACACTTTTTCCAGTGCTATAATATCCTTTTTGAGGTGTGGTGACCAGAACTGTACACAGTACTCCAAATGAGGTCGCACCATCGATTTATACAGGGGCAGGTTGATACTGGCTGATTTGTTTTCAATTCCCTTCCTAATAATCCTCAGCATAGCGTTGGCCTTTTTTATTGCAGTTGCACACTGTCTAGACATTTTCATTGAGTTATCTACTACGACTCCAAGATCTCTCTCCTGGTCAGTCTCTGCCAGTTGGTCTATTATGTGCATTTATTTACACATCTTGCTTACCACACAAGGATTAAACACGCAATCATTTGCCCTCTCCCTTTCTCTGCCCTTTTATGAAACTAACAATCAGCTCCTTAAGGGAGCTGGTGAAACAGCCCTGTGTGAGAGAGAAATTGATAATCTGTCTGAAAGGGCCACTTACTACTCTGTGGCATGATTTTACCAGCCACGAGGGACAAGGACCCAAGGAACAGGTAGTTGGCTTTGCAGCTGTCAGGATCCTGTCAACATCTGCAATATTCAGATCAAGTCCTATGCAAAAGGTCAAATCTAGTCTGTGGCCTGCTTCATGCATGAAGGTTGATACAACCTGGGAGAGTCCCAATGTTGCCATGGCAGTCATGAAGTCCTGAAGGTCTATGAACGTGCTTTTAACTGAAACAAAATTCCAGAACAACTATCCAAAGTTCCTAAAAATGTGCATGTCATTTTCACCTCGCAGTGCAGACCGGAGTCTTGACGGCTGCTTGCCCCGATTCTCAGGAGGTGTTTCTGTGCCGCTTCACGTGAAGCTCCTTCTCAGTCTTTATTTGTGTTCTAGCCCAGCGCTGACCTGGAGGGACATGCAGCACCTGGTCATGAGAGCATCCAAGCCAGCCCACCTGCAGGCAAGCGACTGGGCGGTGAATGGTGCAGGACGCAAAGGTGAGGTTGGAGCGGACTGCTGTGGGCATAGCTGGACTGCTTGGGGGTGGTAGACCGCCCCCCATCTGGACTGGCCCAGAACTGGGATGTGGCGGAATGATCTGTCTTCCCTTTCCGGGTCTCATCAGCTGTTTTTGGCTTTGGCTTTGCTTGCTTTTCTTCCACCAGAAAAAGTCATAAACTAAACAAAGCCTTCTATCAGTTTTCTTGTATGGATGGAGCTCTTGAATGCTTAAACAGTGTTAGACAAATGGTTTTTTATGAGGGTACAGGTTGAGCAGGTGGAAAGAAAGCTTTGCAGTGTTCCCTCTAAGCTGAGTTGGTGTGAGCTAGCTCCCAGGTTTTTAGCCTCCGGCTCACACATTTTTGTCTTAGCTCAGGAAGGATGGCTCCAGAGCAAACTAATGTATGCAGTAGCCAAATCGCTCGCTCACAACTTTAATGCCAGTAGTTCACAAAGTAGGATTTTTGCTCACAAGACACCACTGCTTAGAGGGAGCATTGCTTATATCAGCCAGGCAGATTTAAAATTGCAATCAAGAGGGAGAGTTTCATAGTGGTTAGCGTGTCAGACTGGTGCTTAGGGAAACCCAGGTGCAATTTCCTGCTCTCTCATAAAGCAATCTGTGTGACTCTGGACCAGGCTCTCAGTCTCCCCTACGTCACAGTTCAGTTAAGCAGATTTTTATCTTAGCAGCAGATTTTTGTTCCATCTTTCCTCCAGTGAGCTCAGGGCAGTGTGCATGGTTTCCCCCATTTTATCCTTACAACAGATAGGGAGAAACTGGGCTAAGGTCAGCCAATGAGCTTCTTGGTCATTTGGAGGTTTGATTTTAGTCTGATGCACCTACTACTTTAGTATATAGGAAGCAGGATGAATCATAAGATGCAGGATGGAATAAAAATGTGATAAAAAGTGAGTGATTCCTGCCCACCCCAGCAACCACATTATTGTAGCTTTCCAGGACATACTCTAGAATAAGAACAGTCAGAGTATGTTAGAGAAAGGACAGAGGACTGTATGTATATGCACCTTTACTTTGTAACCATGCTCAATCCGTTGCTGTGCAGAGTATGTGTGTGGACATTTTCTTTTTAATGAATTTCTTATTTAGAACGCTGCACAGTTTGTTCTCCATCACCATGATAAACTCCACTCAAACACAGTATTACAAGGACTCCAGGGAAGGGAGGTGGTTGGTCACTAGATCCCCAGAAGTGTGTAAGTAAAGTAAACCACCCCTGCAAACACTAGTTGGAGTGGAAGCAGGAGATGTGGGCTCCAGGTAGAGCCTATAAGCAGCAATGCAGATGGAGTGATAGGAGTGCTGGATCTCTTAGTGAGAAATACTCTTAACTGACCAACTGGTGGCAGTTGAAACACCAGTGAGAAGTGAAGAACTCCTCCAGGAGTTAGGTGAATTTGGGACAACAGTATGCCGCTGGGCAGAGATTTGGAATGGCCGCTGAGTATCTCAGAGGACCCAAATCGGAATGGCGTTCTGTGACAATTGAAAAAAAAAAAAGCAGTCTTGGTATGTTCACATGTGCAACTCCATCAATATTCTTTTTCTGTGCAGTGCATTATTGAAGCACTCATGTGCTCCTGTGCATCGGTAAAGCATCATACAAAGAGAATCTTGATACAATATACCATCACATCAAGACTGCTTTTTCACAGTGCCATAAAGGTATCACACAGGTGACACAAACGGAGGAAAGACGCTCAAAACCATAGCAAATGGCAGATGCACAGCACTGAACAAAATTCAGAAAGTTTTTAAAAAATAGAACACGGTAGGCTTCCTAGTGCATCTTTTCCCTTTTGGAAGCCTGATTGTGTAGAAGAAGAAGAAATTGGATTTATACCCCGCCCTTCACTACCCAAGGGAGTCTCAGAGCAGTTTACAAACTCCTTTCCCTTCCCCTCCCCACAACAGACACCCTGTGAGGTAGGTGGGGCTGAGAGAGCTCTGACAGGAACTGCTCTTTTTTTCAAGAACAGCTCTTATCAGAACTATGGCTTGCCCAAGGTCATCCAGCAGGTGCAAGTGGAGGAGTGGGGAATCAAACCCGGTCCTCCCAGATTAGAGTCCGCGCACTTAACCACTATGCCAAACTGGTGTAGTTCAGAACTCCAAAATCTGGAAAGAAATTTGGATGGGGAGAGAATTTCGAAAACTTCTCTAGTTAGAAGAAGAAGAAGAAGAGATTGGATTTATACCCCGCCCTTCACTTGGGAGTCTCAGAGCGGCTTACAAACTCCTTTCCCTTCCCCTCCCCACAACAGACACCCTGTGAGGTGGGTGGGGCTGAGAGAGCTCTGACACAAACTGCTCTTTCAGGAACAGCTGTGCCAGTGCTTGTGACTGACCCAAGGTCACATCAGCAGGTGCAAGTGGAGGAGTGGGGAATCAAACCCGGTTCTCCCAGATTAGAGTCCGCACACTTAACCACTACACCGAACTGGCTCTCAGTTACAGCAAAATTTCTCTGTTGGCTTCCTTCCCCTCTCTCTTTCCTTTAAAGTGAGTCACCATTATGGATATGGGCTCTTAGATGCTGGAGACCTGGTCGATCTGGCCAAAAAGTGGACACCAACTCGGCCCCAGCAAAAGTGTTCCATCAACGTTATCCACAAGCCACTGTAAGACATGCACAAATCTCACTCTCAGTTTATTGGTTAGGAGACTTGTGACAGACAAGATCAGCTCCGTTTTCACATCATGTGTAATTAACGTAAGGAACTTGCTGCCGTGTAGAGTGACTAGATATTGGCTAAGGTTCCAACCTCATATGATGCTGTCAGATTTATGATGCATCTCCTGATTATTATTCTTTTTAGTGATATGTGGGCAAAGGAAGGGGGAGCTGTGAATTTTGTAGTGTCTTTGGAAACCAATCTTATGGTCCATTTTTGTGGGTTTTAACTGCACGCACACACGCACACACACACGCACCCTCCTCAGAAAACTATTTGACTACCTGTTGGGGATCTATCATGGTTCAAACGGGGGTGCTGGATGAAGATATGGGATGTTGTACTGGTTAAAAGCAGAAGGCTCATGCTACGATCCCATCTTCCTCTTCCCGAGGGAGTTCTGCAGCTTAAAAAAAAAAGGTTGCTTTTTAAAAACAGAAGCACCGAAGGTATTTTTAATCACAGAAAGGTAAAACCAGCATTTTTTAAAACATGTAAAGGCTTGAGCTCTTCCTAGAAGCTAAAATTACCAAACTAAGACCAGGGGTCATTTCCTGTGGGTGCGCACAGGAGCGGAGCTCCAGCAGTAAGGAGCCCAGGGGGCGGGCACATGCAACAATCCCCGCCCCCTGCTCCCAGCAGCCCTCAGTTGGGCCATGAGGAGCAAGAAGCAGCCAGGTAAATTGCAGAGCCCCCTGGCCCACCTTCAGGTACAAGCTCTCCCTCCTCTGTGAGGGCAGATTTGCACATCCCCCCCCCCAGCTAGCAATCCAAAACAGTCCATTGGCCCTTTAAGACCAGGTTTTATTCAGGTACAAGCTCTTCCTTCTCTGTGAGGACAGATCCGCACGTCCGCCCCCCCAAATAGCTGGCAATCCAAAACAGTCTAGTGGTGGGTGTTGCCTTCTGACACACTTCCGGTGATGTCAGGGGGTGTGGCATATGCAAAAAAGTTATGCTAATAAGTGATGCTAATGAGCTCCTGCACCTCTTTTTCTACAAAATGACCCCTGACTAAGGCTATTGTAGTTTGGTCACATTATGGGAAGACAAAACTCACTGGAAAAGACAATAATGGTAGGAAAAGTTGTAGGCGGCAGGAAAAGAGGAAGACCCAATAGGAGATGGATTGACTCCGTCAAGGAAGCCACAAAGGCCCCCCGTTTGCAAGACCTGAGCAAGGCTATTAATAGGGCATTTTGGAGGTCATTAATTCATAAGGTTCCCATGAGTTGCAAGTGACTTGACAGAAGTCGACACAGACGCAAAGGCAGATGCATGCAGAATAATGCATGTTCTCTTTTTTGAGAAATAATTTTTTATTTAAATATTAAAAAAGCAGATATAATCATCAAGTGCACACCCGCCTCCCCATATAGAACAACCTACAGTGTACACATAACAACAAAAAAGGCAAAAAAGAAAAAGAAAAAAAGAAAAGTGGAAAACAAGCAAATTAAGGCATTGGTAGAGAGCTCAACTGGAGCTGCGGTGGCTCAAGTGGTTAAGACGCTGAACTGCAGGCTGTGGAAGGTTGACTTCAGCAGTTCGAGACCTGGGTGCCGCATAACGGAGTGAGCTCCCGTCTCTAGTTCCAGCTCCTGACAACCTAGCAGTTCGAAAGCAAGAAATTGCAAGTAGATAAATAGGGACCACTTCCGTGGGAAGGTAACAGCGTTCCGTGCGCCTTGGTGTTTAGTCATGCCGGCCACATGACCACGGAAACGTCTTCGGACAGCGCTGGCTCTTTGGCTTGGAAACGGAGATGAGCACCGCAACCCTAGAGTTGGACTCTACTGGCTTTTGAGCAAGGGAATCTGTACCTTTACCTTAGAGAGCTCAACATTCAGCATAAATACAAAGAGAAGAAAGTCTTTCCCCTTCTTTTTTCTTTTCCTATAAACATGCATAATTAATGTATAGTTACAACATGCTTAAGGTATAGAGAGAGGCTTATTTAACTTCATCCCATAATCTGAGGAAGGGTTTAAACATCCTTTGGGTATTGTTCTGAGTTGAGTATAAAATAAAATCATGCTACGTTTTTTCAAAAATAAAATCATGCCACGTTTTGGCTTTAGATTCGATTATTCTGATTTGACTTGTTAATTTTTCAGATATTGCAATCTGCCATGACTCAGAATACCATGAATGCTAAAAGCTGGAAAGCCGCAGAATCATGCATTTTCAGTGCACTTTAGTGATTACTTGCAAGTGGATTTTGCCCTTTGACAAAATAAAATCCCGTTGCAAAGTGCATTGGAAGTAGATTGAAAGTGCGCTGTATTCCATGTGTGTGAAAGTGCCCATTAAGAAAAACTCAATCCGTGTTTAAAGCAGGAGGAAGCCTGTTGATTGCAGTGTGAAGGTGTGGAGAGGGCAGTCGGGCTGCTGGTTTCCGATACATCCAACTGTGCTTTGGGTCTCTTGGCAGGGCAATCGGCTCGAGGCTGTCCGTCTCCGCCAATGCCTCTACCTGCCACGGGGAAAAGGCTGACATCCTGTCTCTGGAGCACGTCCAGGTGCAGCTTTCACTCAGCTACAGCCGGAGAGGAGATTTAGCCATCTCGCTGACCAGTCCGATGGGTACCAAATCCACCCTAGTGGATGTCAGGTGAGTTAGAGCCGGGGTGGGAAAGTAGATAGTGTTGAACTAGGACTCAGGAGACCTGGGTCCAGATATCCTCTCCATTGTAATAGCTGAATGGGTGGTCAGGGGGGACCACCCATTCAGCTATTACAATGGAGAGGATATCTGGAGGGGACACATCTCTCTCTCTCAGCCTTGCCTACCATGCGGGGTTGGTTGTGAGGATAAAGTAGCAGAGGACCCTTGTGTACACTACTTTGAAATTTTTAGGTCTTTTCTACATTCTGCTTTTCCTCACCTGTGTGTTCCTGTTGCTTGGGGGGGGGGGGATGTCTGTTCTGCAGGTGTTTTGCTCCCCCTAGTGGTTGTTCAGATATTACATCACTTTATGTCCCGCATAAAAACCTGCAATTTAAATTTGCAGGGAGATATGCCAGAAATAAAGAGATGTAATATTGAATTGTCCACTAGCGGGAGCAAAGCACGTGCGGAACAGGAAAAAATACCCTGAAGCAACAGGAAGAAGAAGCAGAAGAAGAGATTGAGTTTATACCCCACCCTTCACTCAGAGTCTCAGAGCGGTTTACAATCTCCTTTCCCTTCCCGTCCCCACAACAGGCACCCTGTGAGGTAGGTGGGGCTGAGAGAGCTCTTTTGAGGACCACTCTTCAGAGAACAGCTCTGAGAGAACTTGTGACTGACCCAAGGTCACACCAGCAGCTGCATGTGGAGGCGTGGGGAATCAAACCTGGTTCTCTAGATTAGGGTACCCCACTCTTAACAACAAAGTGGCTCCACTACACCAAACACACAAGCAAGGCAAATGAGAATGTGGGAAAGCCCTTAGAGGATTAACCAGATCAACCAGGCCAGTCAGTCTGACGTCGATACCGGGTAAATTGGTGGAAACCATTATTAAGGAAAGAATTAGTAGGCACATAGATGAACAAAACCTATTCAGGCAGACTCAGCATGGGTTCTGTAAAGGAAGATCTTGTCTCACTAACCTATTAGTGTTCTTCGAGGGAGTGAACAAACATGTGGACAAGGGGGATCCAATAGATATTGTTTACCTTGACTTCCAGAAAGCTTTTGATAAAGTTCCTCATCAAAGGCTCCTAAGTAAGCTCAAAAATCATGGGATAAAAGAACAAGTCCTTTTATGGATCAAAAACTGGCTAATTAATAGAAAACAGAGAGTGAGTATAAATGGGCAGTTCTCCCAGTGGAGGGGGGTAAGCAGTGGGGTACCACAGGGATCAGTACTTGGTCCACTGCTTTTTAACTTGTTCATTAATGATTTGGAGTTGGGAGTAAGCAGTGAAGTGGCTAAATCTGCGGATGATACGAAGTTGTTCAGGGTGGTGAAAACCAGTGAGGATTGTGAGGCACTCCAAAGGGATCTGTCAAGGATAGGCAAGTGGGTGTCAACATGGCAAATGGGGTTCAGTGTGGCCAAGTGCAAGGTGATGCACATTGGAGCCAAAAATCCTAAATATAAATACACATTGATGGGGTCTGAACTGGCAGAGACTGAGCAAGAGAGAGATCTTGGAGTTGTAGTGGATAACTCACTGAAAATGTCGAGACAGTGTGTGACTGCAATAAAGAAGGCCAATGCTATGCTGGGGATTATTAGGAAGGGTATTGAAAACAGATCAGCCAATATAATAATGCCCCTATATAAATCAATGGTGAGACCTCATTTGGAATACTGTGTGCAGTTCTGGGCACCACACCTTAAAAAGGATATTATAGCTTTGGAAAAAGTGCAGAAAAGGGCAACTCGAATGATAAAAGGGTTGGAACACTTTCCCTATGAGGAAAGGTTAAAGCGCTTAGGGCTCTTTAGCTTGGAGAAAAGACGACTGAGGGGTGACATGATCGAGGTTTATAAGATTATGCATGGGAAAGAGCAGGTAGAGAAAGAGGTACTTTTCTCCCTTTCTCACAATACAAGAACCCGTGGGCACTCCATGAAATTGCTGAGCGGTCGGGTTAGAACGGATAAAAGGAAGTACTTCTTCACCCAAAGAGTGATTAACACATGGAATTCACTGCCACAGGAGGTGGTGGCGGCTACAAGCATGGACGGCTTCAAGAGGGAATTAGATAAGCCTATGGGGCAGAGGTCCATCAGTGGCTATTAGCCACCAGGTATAGATAGGGGCTCTGGGGCAAGTGATGCTCTGTCTTCTTGGTGCTTGGGGGGGGGGGTCAACAGTGGGAGGGCTTCTAGTGTCCTGGCCCCACTGCTGGACCTCCTGATGGCACCTGGTATTTCTGGCCACTGTGTGACACGGAGTGTTGGACTGGATGGGCCTTTGGCCTGATCCAACATTGGCGTCTCTTATGTTCTTAAAATGTGATGGATGAATATTTCTGTCCAGGAGATGCAAAGCCAGCCCGGCTACTTCTGCACTTCCCTTGTGTTGTCCCAGATTTTCTTGTGTGTGCACTGGGCCCCATTTCCCCTTCATTTCAGTTAAATGAGATTTGTAAAGTTAACAGCAGAACTGGTGCACAGCTTTGTTTCTTCAGTCAGTTTTATCTTTTCCCTTGTCTGATTTAGCAATGCACAACAGGCACTTGAAGGACACGTGCAGACCAGTGTTCCCTCTAAGCTGAGTGAAAAGTATGCAGACGGAGAGCGATCTCAGCTTTTACTTAGTTCAGAACAAGACAAAGAAGCCAGCTCGCAGGCCGGCGTATATGTCCCAGGAAACACCCCCACACACACACCCCCACCCATGATTGGCTATTTACAGTGTACTCGAGATCCATAGGCTCTCGGTTGGGTTCCGAGCCCTCCTATTGGTGCGGGCTAGGGTCTGCTTGACCCTTTGTTCTCATACCCAAAGGTCTGCTGCTTCCCCTGACCGCGAGGCGACCTGGACGCCTCCGAGGTCGGGGATGAATACATTACACCGAGTTAGTGTGAGCTAGCTCACAGTTTTTCAGCCTCCAGCTCACAGATTTTTGTCTTCGCTCAGGAAGGATGACTCCAGAGCCAAATAATTTATGCAGTAGCCAAATCGCTTGCTCGCAAATTTCATGCCAGTAGCTCACAGAGTAGAATTTTTGCTCACAAGACTCCACGGCTTAGAGGGAGCATTGGTGCACACCAGTAAAACATGGCACAAAAACAATCATCATATGATCAGATCTCTCTCTCTCTCTCTCTCTCTCTCTCTTTTTCTTTCTTCCTGCCTGCCGTCTGTCTGTCTTTTTTTACTCTCTCTCTTTCTCTTTTTCTTTCTCTCTTTCTTTCTCTCTTTCTCTCTCTCTTTCTCTCTCTCTTTCTCTCTCTCTTTCTCTCTCTCTTTCTCTCTCTCTTTCTCTCTCTCTTTCTCTCTCTCTTTCTCTCTCTCTTTCTCTCTCTCTTTCTCTCTCTCTTTCTCTCTCTCTTTCTCTCTCTCTTTCTCTCTCTCTTTCTCTCTCTCTTTCTCTCTCTCTTTCTCTCTCTCTTTCTCTCTCTCTCTCTTTCTTTCTCTCTTTCTCTCTTTCTGTTAAGGCAGGGGAAGTCATGCAGAACCACTGAAGGAGTGGGAAGCTGTGGGAAATGCCTTGCACATGTAACAGGTTGTACAAAATCCAAAAATAAAATAGGTTAAAGTGGGAAGATTTCCTAGTGGCTCAGCGTTTAGTTCGTGACTTTGTCTGCTAGGCCTTACGATACTAGCCGCAACGGGTACAAGGACTGGTCCTTTATGTCCACACACTACTGGGATGAAGACCCGCGTGGCACCTGGACCCTTCTGCTGGAGAACAAGGGAGATGCATACAACACAGGTAAGCTGACCACCTTCCCCCCAACTCAGCAAGCAGGGCAGACCATCGGAGTTCTCCTAGCGCCCAGGGTGGCTTGTCTTCCATCCCAGGCCACAGTTCCGACTCATCAGCATCCCATAAGTTTTAGGCGACTTGAGGGACTCCCACGGACCCCAGGGCACAGCACATAGCCTGTGTCATTCTCCCCACTACCTGCGCTTGGCAGCTTGGCAGTTCCCTCCTGGGCATGGGACAGGGGTAGCAATCAGTTTTGGTCACTGATGTCGTTGAAGTTCCAGGGCCTGGGGGGGCAAAATGGGGTTGGTGGGCCACGGGGCCGAGGTTGGGCTTGCCCCACAGCCAACCCAAACAACATCAGCCTCACCCAGAAGAGCCCTCGTACCTCCCGGGGCAACGTGCCATCTCACAGTATTTGTCAGATATGACTTGTCATCAGGGGTCATTTCGTAGAAAAAGAGGTGCAGGAGCTCATTAGCATAACTTATCAGCATAACTTATTTGCATAGGCCACGCCCCCTGACATCACCAGAAGTGTGTCAGAAGGCAATGCCCAGCGCTCAGGCTCCACTGGACTGTTTTGGATTGCTGGCTATTGGGGGGGGGG